AAATTAGGCATACTAATAATCTCAATTACCTTAATTAATCTCAATTAATTCGTCAGAGTGTTACAGCTCCATCCTGGTGGAAAGCAGAATACAGTCATGATTGAAAGAGTTAAGCGAACTACTAATATGAAAGGAAACAGCAGGAGTGTAGGACAGAATAATTCATAGAACTTGGTTTACCAAATAACTGACGATAGGATAAATTTAGAAAAGGACATACCCTATCATTGTCATAAAAGTCAAACTTTTTTTTGAGGAACTCAATGGTTTCATTTGTCAACTCCACATGCTGCATGTAATAGTTTATTGGAAGCAGTTTTAACAAATTCCATATGCTTTAAAAATTCACAAAAATAAAAATAAAGAAATAATAACTGAGAAATGAAATATGGAATTTGTTAAAAATATATATATATATATATATATATATAAACTACCATGATCCATGGAGAAAGTTCAAATAGGTCTGAATCGTCTTAAAATTTCAACCATAGATCACACAAGTAAGATTGTCAAACCCATGAGAGAGTGAGAGAGAGTGAAAAGGAGTTTAATGCCTCATATACCATATTTGCAAGTCCAAAAAAGCAGACATTGCAAGCGAATATCCATAAGACTAAAACAATAAATAGGCAGTGATATTCTTGACAATGTATTAGTCAGGATATTATTCACTTCCATTCCAGTTTGACATGAAATTGAAAGATCAAAGAAGCATGTAAATAACCTGATCAGCCACATTTGCTGAGGAATTGAAGTTTTCCTCGATGAGTTATTACCTGGTCAGGAGTCTCTTTCAATGGAGATGGAAGGAGTTCGTCTGCAAGTTCTAAATCATTATTGTATCCAGCTTTTCTAAGGACAGTCCAAGTCGTATGGAAATGCTCTTTTTGTATAATTACTGAATGAATACAGAAAAATCCTAAAAGACTAAGCCCGTGCTCATTGACTGCTTCGGGACAATATTTTTGCACAATCCTCTTGACTTGGCTGAATTTCAGAAGGCTGCAAAGAGGTATTGGACCAGTTGACCTATTTATAGAAAAAAAATAGATTTTCCATTCATCCCAAACACAAATTATCATGAACTTGAGCTAAGAAAAAACGTTTTAGGACTTGTGATGTTATTTCGAATAGCCACCACAGAAGACTATTAAAATTGACATAAAAGAGTAACCTGGTAATCATTCAGAGCTCCATCTTGGTCACGGTCAAAGAGAGCAAATATCCGCCTCAAGGCTCGCACAAATCGAGGCTTCATTAATTGTAATTCTTGTCCGTTGGATAGAGCGCGTGCTCTCTTGCTAAGTGAAAAACCTCACGAATCTGCAAAATGAAATGCAACACATTGACAGTGTAAAAAGTCCAGTGTAAAAGCCATAGTAACAAGAAATTGCTGAAGGAATTTGAGTAGCAAAATTATATGCAAGTTATATAATATCGAATCAGATACTAGTGTATTCCAAGTTAAAACTTACTAGACTAAATAAGCATTAGGTTGCAAATGTGGGACATTTAGATAGCATGAAAGATTAGTGAGGGGAGAGAGAGAGAGAGAGAGAGAGAGAGAGAGATAAGGTTGCAAATGTGGGACATTTAGATAGCATGAAAGATTAGTGAGGGGAGAGAGAGAGAGATAAGGTTGCAAATGTGGGACATTTAGATAGCATGAAAGATTAGTGAGGGGAGAGAGAGAGAGAGAGATAAGGGTGCAAATGTGGGACATTTAGGTAGCATGAAAGATTAGTGGGGGGGGGGGGAGAGAGAGAGGGAAAAACAAAAAAAAAAGCCTCAGGCAAAGAAGAGTCTCTATACAGACCTGAAAATATCCCAATGCCGAACAGTCAACTGTAAGTTTCAATCTCCAGAAACTGTTGCTTTAATGGTGACATCACTTGCTTCAGGCTAAACTGCTGGTTTTTATCTCTCAAATCTTGTTAACAACCCACAACTATTATTGGGACCTTCACCTGCAACACAAGTATGAAAAATATATGGCTCCATTAAGCTTATTATTCTCATTTGTACCAGAGGTTAAGGTTTTCTTTCATCAGATTTTTATTTCTTTCTCTTTCCTTTTTTTTTTCTTTTTCTCCGTTCTCTCTCGTTCCAGAAGAATTTCTGGAAGTTCTCCATCATGATAATTGTGCTGATCATGGAACCAAAAACTTATAAAAAAACAGAAATTAATGAGAAAGAAAGAAACCTCAAGCTGACGAATTTAGGAAGCCAGAAAGAACTCAATCGATCAAGCGTCTGAGGTTGATCACATGCGTAAGTAAGAACCACTGCATCAGCCCGCTTCAATTCTTCAGCAACTTTACGACTATCCTTGGGACTGGTTAATGAAACATCAGTATGGTTCGTGAATTTTGTTTGCAAAAAAAAAAAAAAAAAAAGTATCGCTAACTTTAAGAAATAAAATTCATACCGAAAGGAAGTGTCGATCATCGCAATTGGAACACGCTCGGGATAAAGGTTTATACTCATGCACTCTCAAACATAAATTCTCCATTTTTTTTTTTTAATGTGAAAGATTCAGGCAAGCCCGTTTACAAAAATCACGAGCACGATCCACATGAAGGAAAGAAAACCGAAACTAGCGACACAATCTAAAATTGTTTCGATACACGACTAACTTTGTTTAAAACGTCAACACTCAACTTGGAATCACTGAGCACGACAATAGCCGTCCACACCTTAACTCCAGCCACCTCCACTGCTTCTCTAATGGCAGAAAGTTCAGCATGCAGAACAGAGAGAGTTCAATTGTTGACAATGAATAACAGCAGCAGTAGTTGCTCGCCCATCCTTCCAAGAAGCATCCACACTTAATAAAGTGCGGGTCTGAGATGGCCGCGGACTCAGAATTACCTTGATTGCGATAATGCACCGGACTGGGAAGGACCCTGCGTTGTCGTTCCTTTTGAGACGGTCAGAATTTTCACCATTTCCTATCCGCGGCATAACGCTCCTTTGTTGGGATGTTTCATTTAGTTTTGTTTCCTTTATTTGTATTTTTCATTGCCTATTTGAAGGCTTCTTCAATATTGTTATTTAGGGGAGACAGTTTTAGTGATTAATAAAAATATATGTTTTTTAGAGTTCTTTCAACATATTTATTTTAATATTTTTTTTATATTCGTGAGCGAATTAACAGATTAATAAAAATCTTATTTTTAGTATCCCAATTAAATCGATGAATCTTTTCGTATTCTAAATGAATCAATAGATTTTAAAAATTCATCAACCGCAGATAGGAGTGGAGGAATAAGGCGTCGAAAGTGAAAAGTGATATTGTTTGGTAGGGTAGAAAGGGGTGAGGAGGGCGCAGAATTAGAAAAGCAATAATTTTCTCAGAAAACAAACATTGAAATTGACTGAAAATTCATATTTTCTATCTGCAAAATATCCATATATATATACACATGATTAGATGCATCTTTTACAAAAATGGTTAAAAGTTTGAACAAATCCCACAGAGAATCCCTAAAACCAACCAAAATCCTTCATGCCTAACCGACATAGCACTTCATGTTTAACCTTGAAAACTTTGAATATGCAAAAACCATGACAAAGGTTTGGCTATCACTGGAGTGTCATTTTTAAAAGAGAACATCGTTTGTAATACATATCGGCCATTGTTGTTTCAAGAGCTTTTTGTCGTTTTTTTAATGTTGCCGTGTTGCGAATTTTGTAACAACTTGGTAAAAAAGTATACATGTACTTTCAAATAATAAGTAATTACATGCTCTTTCTTAAATTTGCGCGTGCTACACTTTTTTGCTAAACTTCCACTTGTACAACTTGAATATTCGTGAAATTTGTGCTTAAACAATTTGTGAAGATCTTTAATTCTAGGCACACATATCGAAATTTTATTGTTTAAAATTAAACATTTTTTTCAGTTTTTTTAAACTTTGTTGCAAAGTGCAAGACTGAGCAGAAGTCTTCATTAAAAAAAATGAAAAGTTTGAGTAGAAGTGGAGTTATATAAAATACATATTTATCATGATAACAAGAACAATAATAAATAAATAAATAAATAAAAGGCCCCTTGGAGAATAGAACATATAAAACCCCTTAATTTTCTGCATTGAACAAGATGATGTTTATAATAATAATAATAATAATAATAATAATAATAGAGTTTCTCTAGTGTTCTTTTTTTTTTTTAAACAACGGTGTTTCTTATTTATTAACTGTCATATATGTATTAATCTAATGAAAAGTCAAATTAAATTGAAAAAATAATATAAATTCAATAGTTGATAAATAAAAAACACCGGTGTACTTAAAAAATATAGAACACTAAAGAAATTCCCTAATAATAATAAAGAAAAACTCCTGACCTAAGTACGGCAAGAAAAACAAAAACAAACTGTTTTGTTCAAATGGATAGTCAAAGGTTCAAATATGACAGATCATGATAACACTTTTTTTTTTTTTTTTTTCATGTTGTTTCTTCTTGAATGTGTCTTACCCATCATAGCAGGTTTTAATGTATCTTTTCTTGATTAGCCAAAAAAAAAAAAAAATACATAGTCATAGAGGCCCCATAATGCCCAAGAAATACCACATAAGAATGTCATTTTATCATTTATAATGTGATACAATCTGATTAATTAAGTACCATTTTAAACACTAAAATTAAATAAGTGATTTGAATCCTTAAATACAAAAATTTCAATCATCTTTTGTTTCTTAATTTAAAAAATAAAAAAATTTTAAGAAAATGACGACCAAAAAAGTGTCTAGAGGAACAAATTTCCAAATTTTCTAAAGAAATAAAGAACAAACCCCTGAGTGTCCTATTAGACTTTGGCATCTAAAGACAAGACATGGCGTTAAAGCCTTAATTAAAAACGGATCCCCCCACCCATAAAACAAAAAACAAAACAAAGTAACCGTAATAACGAACGGTTAACAAAAATCCTGAAAAGCTCTTGGGGTTTATTTCCTTTTGTCCTTCTTTTTACTAGAAATCTTGGTCTACCACGTAGCAACTATTGAAAATGTTAAAATTAAACAACCGGCAGTTCAGAAAATTACAAGACCCTAAAATGCAAGCAATGGTAATTGAAAGAATGAAAAAATTGTAGAGTGACCTAAAAATATTGCTATTACACAAGTTTCAACCATACTCTCAAGATCGAAAGATTATCAAAGTATGGAGCCTAAAAAATAGCTCTTCACTGTGAAGGAAGTTCGTCTGGTGGTGGTGGTGGTTTGGCAGAAGATGATGATGACCCAAAGTCCAGATTTGGATAGACTCCGGGTGGCCTTACTGGAGGTTCAATCGATAGCAACTGGCTCGAATCACCCACGACATCTGGCCATCCGTAATGAGGTTCAGCCCTTCATTAAAAAGTGGCACTTTTTAGTACCAAGATTAACTAAATAATGCAATGAAAATACTTGTGTTTATTTTGTCACCGGATATTCTCTTGATAGCTTGAATAAATAACAGTCACAGCCTACTTCGCTTACTATAAGAAAACCAAATCCTTACTCGTAATAGGTTTCCTCGTCTACCACAATATCCCAGCTTTCACCTGTTGTGCTCTTGCCATACTTGTGCACTTTGCTGATAGAAAGAGAGTGCGGCCATCGTAAGAAAGGGAATTTAAGTAACTAATTTCAATGGAGTTCAATAATTTGCATAGGATCGCAGTTTTTTTTGGTATAAAAGTTTAAGCTAAAATCCCATATGCAAGTTTATTCCCATACCCATTTCCGAAGTGCTCCTCTCCCCATGTCCTTGACCAACCTAAAGCAGGGCAAAAAGAAAATAATGAGTAAAAATCCCGAAGAAGGATTTAACATGAGCATCCAAGTGACTAGAAGGAGTTTCAATTACACTAAGCGTTCAACAAAATGTTCCAGTCAACGACTAGTCTTTCCAAAGCATCAGATCAGGAAAGAATTAAAGCATTAAATAAGTCACTTGACTACTTAAAATCACATCATGTTTAGATCGCTGACCTACCTTCTTTCTCCTGCTTTACATCCAGTTATGTTAATGACAAAAAAGAAGCCACAAAAACAAGTGACTATGGCCCCCAACCGTAATTTTGAGACCTTCGTGAAGAGAAAAATTAAGACAAAGGTGAAAAATGATGACTATAACCAATGTGATTATTACCACTGGTTTTTCAAACAATTAGCTGGTTGAAAGCCAGTGGTGGCTGGTTCAAACAACTAAGTAACAAGGTTAGGACCTAAATTTAATTAAAACTTCACATCATGAAAGGATGAGTAATGAGGGCCGGCAAGTTAGAATAAATGACAAACTAAGGGCAATGGGTAGACTATGAAGTGTATAAAAGAAATAACGTAGAAATTTAAAGGGCAGGCATGTGGGCAAAAGCAAAAAGATAGCTTACTTATACTAGTTATACCCTAGAAAATTGCAGTAAGCGAGAAAACTGAAATGAACTTTATAAAGCTAAAATTGGAAGAAAATAAATGAAAAACAGTAACAAATTAATTAAAAATTTATCTACAGAAAGTACATGATGGACATACGTTCAGCACTGGGAGATACATGCCATGTCTCCCCTTGTCGGGAACCTATGCCAGCAAAGAACTTCTCTTCCCACTTATCTCCCCATTTAGTCCCAAGTTCAGTCTCAGCCCATTTATCTGTCCTGAAGATATTGTTCAGAGAACGCAGAGCAAAACATTAATACAGGTTGAAATATATTTTCAACTAGGAGTCGTTATTAAACTAAGGAAATATACGAAACTTAAAATCCTTTTAAGTTGTAAATTAACGTATCACCAAATACCTATCAGTAAGTTTACATTACATCAAATCAAACTTTTATTTGCATAGAGTAAACAGTGTAGCAAATTAAACTACTGCAAATTTGTACTGGCCTCAGATACCCATTACCAATTAGATTATATATCCTTCTTGTTCCTAAATGATGAACAAAAATCACAAATACATAATTTCTTATCGTTTGTTGGTTGGTTGGTTGGTTTTGGGATAAAGGAACTTCCTGGTGAAGAATTACAAACTGACATCTATTTATTTATTCATATATTAATTTACTCTTGTGCAGTTGCGCTTAAAGAACATGATTCAAAGGGGGACGTAGAAACCAAAAAATAGCGAAGAAGGGTAACAGAAGAAGACCATTTCAGAACGGATCCCCTTCCATCATAATGCTCTCCCCATTTCTCCCACCATGACTGCTCATTAAGTCTACCATATTTATGTGCTCCTTTCTCAGTCCATCCTTTAGCATCATACTTCTCCCACCTGCATCCAAATTTGTTGTTCCATGCATAAATTTTGACACTTCATAATTGCTCAACAGCATTATGGTGTATTCGTAATTACTTAGCATCCACAAGTTATCTTACCACTTCTCATACCATCCAGCATTTTCTGAGCCTGATTTTGCCTGTTTCTGTGCACTCCTCTCGATCTTTGCTAGGTTACTGCAGTCTCAAACGTATCAGTTACAGGATCAACAAAAATAAATAAACAAGAATTTGGGCCGCGAGAAAAGGAGGAAAAATTCTCTGGGGCTAGTATTATACCTCCATTCATCTTGATGAAGTACTTCTTGCCATGTTTCCCACCATGCGTCCCCTTCAGCATTCTTACCGGATTTCTCCACACCTACCAAAAATATATATATATATATATATATAAGCGATTAACACACTCATGGATGCGTACTGATTAACAGATTTCTAGAAAACATTTTCAGGAACAAGAAACTTTATGTGGTACAGATTTCTAAAACTGGAAGGTTTGATTAGGTAAATGTAAATCCAGTAATTTCAAAGTACAGCCTATGATGCCAAATTATAATAAAAGAACAATGTCTAAATCTGAACGTAACCAGAGGATAAGATGTAATATACAAAGGAAGCAAAATACCTAGCTCTTTGTATCCAGTCCAATCACTTTTCTCCCACCACTGTCAATGAGATCAATAAATCCACATTAAATGCATCCACCTGGTGATACTTAATGAGGTCATATAATCAATGTTTAATGTAGCGAGCATTAGAAATACGGTGACAATTGGCTACAAGTATGATGTCTTCTTCCACGTCTACAAAACCCACCTAGAGGTAACTAAAAATAGAAAGAACCAGCGAGAGAATCATGACGATTGAATATTTACTGCGCCTCTTAAACAATTTTTCTGAACGAACCACTTATTCACAACTAAGTGCTGAGCGAGAAGCCCAAGGTTTAGGTCTTAGTAGCTCAATGCAGCTGCTGCCAAACAACAACATATGTAGCTAGATAACAAGAAGAATGAACACCCTAATAAGAAACGGAAAGAAAAAGAATAGTTAAAGCATATACCCATTTTTAAAGTCAATGGAGATAATCATTCTTCTAGATAAAAAATTATCAATTGAGGAAACCACCCGTTGAGTTATAACACGGGGCCATAATCTTTTTCAGATTCATAGAACGTTCAACTTCTAAACTTAATGGTATTTCTTTGTGCTTCATTACTGATTTTCAACCTGTTTATATAAATGGAAGTCACAAGCTACAAGTCAAGCGTACAAGCAACTAAAAGTCCAAATTCTCCCTTAAGTCAAGTAGCTGATCATCATAGGGTAGTTATAATAAAATAACAAGACAGTAACTACTAGCTGCGTTAGTAGGTTTCAAATTTTTACATGAACAATTTTCATGGAGTATATCCTCTGATATGCTTCACTTCCAAAACAAGAACATAAAAAACAACATTAAAATTTAAAACAATATACTAAAACAACTGATTGGTTAAGTGACAGAATAGTTTATACCGTTTCTTTCCATTCAGAAGAACCATCCTGAGATCGACCACCCATCCTTGTCCATCTACATCTGAATCCATTATCTCCCAAGTCCTCCCCACTTTCTCGATACCAAGTACTGCCATCTTCATTAGTGCCAGACTCGTTAACATTTTCACTTGACAAGATTATGCCCCAATCCTTCTCATTTGCAATACCAGTGTCTACAATGAGGGTATCAGTAAACACAACATGCTCCATTAGACGACTTATAAAGACAATAAAAACAGTTATTCAAATGCTAAAAAAGCAAAACTAATTTTGCTTCACATATAGATCATAGATCAAATAGATAATCCTAAATGTCCTAATGATTACAGATTACCTCTTTTTGGCGGACTGTCACGGGACTGTGGGCCAGAATTTCTCGGTGTGCATCGAGGATAAAACTTTTCTTGCTTAGAGGCAAAATGAGATCTGCCATGGAAAACTCAATAAAGATTCATAAAAATATATCCAGCGGGTATAAATAAGTTATGATAGAAAGCAACGTGATAAATATCAGTAGAATAATCATAAATGGTTCTACACACAAGATAAATGGACTACGAAATAGAAAATGGAATATCAAAGCATTGAATAACTAGAAATTAAACAAGTTCATTGCTCAAAAAAAAAAAATAAAAAATAAACAAGTCTAGATTATCTCTTATAAGTCTTAGGCTAAACTACGTCAACAACCCTAACGCTTTTGTTAGTATGCTTCCTCTCTTTTTCAGGAGCTATGAAGTGATATTTGATACTGCAGTGTAATTCTGGATGAAATTGAATTTTAGAACGAACTAACATTAACACCGTATGATCCAAAACCTAATTCCGTCCCTGCTTGCTAACTTTCTTGGACCAAGTACAATAAGTAGAAAATACACTTTCAGATTCTTTGAATTCAAGAAGCCAAAAATACTCATAATACTCAAAGAATGGAAAAAGAAAAGCGATCGCAACGCACTGAGGAGAAGAGAAGGGCAATGCAGGAGAAGGCTGGATTCGAACTCTGCGAGGACTTTTCTTGGGATCAAACCGCCACTCTTCGGCCTTCTCCACGCTCTTTCCGGCGCCGGCGGCTTTCCGAATGGGAACCACCGAGTCGGAGCAGCAACAGCGGACTCGGCTAACTACGACTCGCCGGTCGCCGCCGTCGAAACTGACCCTCCGCCGCTTCCTCAACTCGAACGAGCCATTGCCGTCGCGGCGCGGAGGAGGATGGTGGAAGCCGAGTCGCCTGAGTTTAAGATCAAACTGAGTCGCGAAACCTCTGGAAGTCGCCGCCATTTATGCCATGCGGCGAAGAGGAAACCCTAGAATCGCAAAGGAGAGAGATAAGAGAGAGAAAGCGTGACCGACGTAAGTCCGACGGAAGATATAGAGAGAGGAAAGAAGGAGAGATGTATTAGTGGGGGCTTTGAGTGGTTTTATAGGGAATTAATTAATTAATCTCGAATTTTATGGGAGGAAATAAAAGGAATGACCAATGGGAGTGAAGGAGAGAAAACCGGAGAATCTTTGCTGAGGGACATTTGACGGTTAGAGAGAGAGAGAGAGAGTTTTCAGGGTCGGAAGGAAGAAGAGAAGACGGCGGCGGCGGCGGTGTTGGTGGTGGGTGTGAGATGAGAATAGACTGAGATCGTTTGTTTTGTTTGGTTTGGGGATGAAATTGGACCGTGGCTGCGAATCTCGGGATTTTAATCGGACACGTGAGCACCAGTTGGCCCCACCATACTGGAATTTGTATCCGTTATGCCTCTCTGTCCTCTCTGGTTATGCCACGTGTTCGAAGCTGAATCGCAACTTTTTTTCCTTGATTGATGGGGCTGGATGGGATCTTCCGAGTGGCAGTAGCTGCTGTCTGGGATTAGCTTGCTTTATTTTCCTTAAAAAAAACATTTTGCAGATAAATTATTAGTTGAGTAATTATCTGTAAAATATTTCAAGGAAAATAGAAATTTCAATACAGTTTTAAAGTGTATTTTTTTTTACGGCTTAAATTTTTTATGAGGGAGAAAATATTATAATAAAAAATTATGAGAAAAATATTATAACAAAAAAATGTGAAGTGTGAAAAGAACAATGACTTCCAACTTTAAACTCAAACAAATAAATATATTGCTTTATCCATTGGCGGTATCTCAGCAACATTTTTTTTATTTTTTTGAATTTTTTAGAATCTAATAAAACAATGCTTTGTTTTAAAGTAATATTGTCAAACCATAAAACTATGCTATGTTTCCTAGAAAATAATAATAATAATAATAACCTGATGTTATTTCATTAATTTCTCTTACGGCCAAAGGCCACCCCGTAACGTGCAGTATGTAATCAAACAAATTCTGTTATGATGGAATTTCATGTCAATCTTTACACTATTTGATATTGATTTAAAAATGTCAAAACTACTAATACTAGGTAAGGTGGCATTTTAACTTGATTTTAATGAACACTAAAGAAAAAATTGATTTGTTTTTGTTATGCTGTCTAATAATTAAATAAATACTAGAAATAATTAATAGTTCGTTTAATTTGTTGATTTGAGTTTTTAATTCGAGTTGAGATATGATTTTATATGATAATGTTTTACTGTAGTAAAAAATTAGATGTGACTTTTTTTAAAGCTTTTTACTGTAGTAAAACTCGAATTCTAAATTTAAATCGGTAAAATGAACGAGTTTTTAATTTAAGTTGAGATATAACTTCATGTGAGAACTTTTTACTACAGTAAAAAAATTAAAAGTGATTATTTTTTAAAATTTTTTACTGTAACAAAACTCGAATCGGTGAAACGAATAGAACCAAAATATTAATAATACTCCTTAATACTTTACTTTTCTATGTAATGCCGTTTCCCTATGTGCGTTCTTATTTGTCACCAACGAATACATGGTCGGAGAAGTTTGCTCACTCGTGAACGTATGTCAAAACCGAGAATCTCCAGATCTTGGAAGTGAAATCTTTGTTGGTGATAACGTGGCCATGGATTATTGCCAAAACGACAGGTACCCAAAAGCGACTTTTATCACTTCTGCCTTCTGCGAAAGCAAAAGCACTCCGACACCTTATCCAATTCCAAACCGTACCATTTGCCAATTTGCCTTTCCTCCTCCATTCCGATTACACTTTTCTTTTTCTTTCCGTTTTTTTTTTTTTTTGGTCCTCTTCACTTTCTCCACGTGTCAATAGCTTGGGACATCTGACCTGGCCAGCCAACTGTTTGCCCGTGCGCTTATATTTGTGGATCAGGCTGAAAGCGTGGCAGCTTACGTGTAAAGCAGTGCACTTATGGTGAGAAGATATGCCACGTGTCAACAATCAACAAGTGGGAAGACTAATGTCTCTGCCGTGTAACTAGGAAACCAAACATTTGTTTCTTTTATCCGACTCATCACGTCCCTGCGTGTTTGGATAAGCTTAATGTCCACTTCATGCAAAATTCTTAGGTGCAATCAAATCCGAGTTTGTGATGGTAATTTGATAATGACAATTCTGTCAATACCCAATTGAAATGGAATGCCAAGAAAGCGCTATCTCTAATGACACATAGCCGAGCTTTACATTATCCAAGCGCTGTCTCTAATGACACATAGACGAGCTTTACATTATCCATTTAATAACGATGAAAAGATCGTTTAGTTCGCTAATTTAAATTGAGATGTAATTTTATGTAAAATAAATTTTATTGTAATAAAAAAATTAGATGTAACTGTTCTTAAAAATTTTTTACTGTAACAAAACTCGAATTAGTGAAATGAACGAATCAAAATTTCAATCATCCCCATAGGATGACTTTCGGGTGAAACTTGTGATGCTAAAATTGCCATTTGGGAGTTTCCTCTTTACTTGAATTCGCACACGGAGAGAGATTCTTATTCCTATGATTGTTCAAAAACTAACTTACAAGTGGAACACACATGGAACGATATGAAGAATCACAAATCGTTCAGAATTTATAATTCTCATAGGCAATTGACACAGCAAATCACCTCGATTTCAGTAATGAAGCTTATAAATTAGAATGTAAACAACACATTGAGACTTAAAAGTGGTGATTCTTTAACATGAAACCAGCCTATTTCAAGTTCAAAGCCTCGCCATAAAAGTAAGAAATTGCTGAAAAAGAGGATCTAAATACACCAGTGCAAATCGTCCTGAAAACATTCCGTGCCTTTATTGGACGTCTACACATCACTGTTCAACTGCACACTATACACGGAAAAACGGAAAGGGGTGTGCAGCCTGAAACGTTTCAGGAACATAATCACTCTAGACTGAACAAGACCAGACATAAAGATCTGATCCTCAAGAATAGTACTTTTCCTCTCTTAACCAACTACAAGGATCGTGCATGTATAAGGGGGGAAAATGGCTACCAATTAGACCAAACGCGTCCATTTGTCCTGAAGATTCATTTTCTGAATAGAAAAGGCTTCACCGATTCCACAACTACCTGTTTTACAGAAAAGGGAAAGAAGTCAAACACTGAAAATATTTAAATTTATAAAATGGTAAAGAAAGTGATACAGTGTGCAAGAAGAACAAGGGTAGTGTACAATGCACAATTCCCGAGGGGAAAACGGAAATAAAGGATGGGTAGAAACACTTGACTATGGTCCTGGCTAGGTAGGTCACTTTCTTAGTAGCAAACTGGAGAATTTTAGAGGGTTGGGAAGAAATTCTAATTGATTTTAGTCCTTCCAATGACAGAAAAATAATAAATAAAATCGGTTTGTTCCAGACAGCGCATCTAATCTCGTCGTTACCCTTCCATCGTAGGATAATGATGCAAAGATCCAAGGCTCACGAGAACTCCAAGCAAGGCCTGTAATTTCCAGTGAAATATCAGTTTTACGATTCAGGTATAAATTAAAATCAAGGTCTACAGAAACCAGAGTACTAGTAATTACCATAAACACTGTCTTCATAGTCACTGTAGGAATTAAGTAATGGATCAGGCTGCCGAGTTGGGGAATCCACAAGTCTGTCAAGCACGTAAAGAAAATTTATCAACAACCGAAAATATAGAAGAGGATACAAGATTGATTCAATATGGATGAAATTTCAGGAAATATCCTGGGTAACAAGGTAAGGAAAATACGTTTCTGATGTCAACTCATCCCTGCTGAATGGAGAAGCCAACCACAAGTTGACGGTTGAGTCTGTACCAGAACTCTGCAACAATTTTCATTTGTTACATAGAAAAAAAAAAACAGAGAGGGAATGTGGTAGTGGCATCTTAGAAAGGTAAAGTTGAACGAGATAAAGGTGGCTACTCAATACAATGGATAAAGTCTCCGTTATGGACTTTGAGAAAGAAAGAAAACGGCGGAAAAAAATCCTTTGGTGGAATGATTACTCGTGCAAAAATCCACTATCTAAATATTAATCTATTTAGAGAGAGAGAGAGAGAGAACCAAAATCAGCCCTTCATGTTCAGGATTACACCTGACAGCCCACGTCCTGGAAAGTTTTGAAAGAAACCGCAAATCAGATAAGTAATCAGCACATAATTTCTAGGGGGAGGGGTGAATATTAGTACAAGTTGACCCTTAGACCGTCTATAAATTAGAGGTAATCGAATGGGGATGGAACTTGGTTGAACTTGAAAGAGATTGATCTGCTACTAGATGAAGTACATACCAATGTGTGTGTCCAGGAAGCTCCTGAACTGGAGCCTTGGATTTCCTGATATCCCATATGCATATACCTGATTCATCTTCTGCAGTGACCTGCAAATCGCAAATTGTTAGAAAGAAAATACTGTAAATATGGTAACCAGAAGAAAAGACTATGAAATATGACATCTTCATGCATACATTACCGACAATACATTCGTACAAGTCTGAAGGGCATGGACTCAACATGCTATTTTAGTGATTTCCAAAAGTCCGAACCAGATAAATTACTGTTTAAACATATCCCATGAGCATTTGAAATAGAGATTCTTCCCCTACTTTCTTCAGAGACAAACAACTCTCATTTCATAGACAAGAGGGTGTTTTAAATGCGACTTTTGGATATCAAATCTGCTCAGAAAAGTTCTACCTACTTGTTAATTGTTATATTAGCACTGGAAGCACCTAGATTAGCATACCAAGACATATATGTCGTCTGTTGAAAAAGCATGTAAAAGAACTTTGGAAAACAAAACATTGATGATCGATTATTCAATGAATACGTTATTGGTGTCCTTCACACTAATCATATATGAATTCAGAAGGCATGCATGTCTTTCAAAACCAAAAATGATGCTAGCTAGATTTCGGGGGTGATGTGATTTGTAGTAAACAATAACTTTGTGCCTTAATTATGTAGACATATAGCCAAAAACTGAGTAAATCCACACACAAAAGTAAATCAAAAATTTTATACTAGTTTTGACATGTATGGTTAGAGGAACCATATAATGCAGTCTTACAATTACATGAGGCTTCTTGGGGTTGTAATCGACATTGCGAACATGAGAGCGCTCGATCAAATTTGTTTTCCTGCATCAAATGAATTTTATGTCTTGTAAAAAGGGTGAAGTCCCACACTGGTAATGGTTGCAAAACAGTAACGGTTCCAAAATGTTTTCATCCATAGTTTGTTTGTCAGAAAATGCCCAACAGAAACTAAAAAATCTTTAATGTGTGTTATCCACTTGAAATGCATTAACATTCCAAGCAGATGTAGTAGGAATGTTTAATAAAAATGAGAAATCAGTTCATCAAATGTTGGGGGAGGAATACCTAAGCAAAGTTAAAGGCACTGAAATGTTAAAGAATTGAACATATAAGCTGTAACATACATCATGGTCCGCAAGTCCCAAAACTGGATGGAAGATTCACTAGTGGCCGCAAGTGCATTCACATCATGTGGATCCCAGGCTCCTCCGGATAAGTTGTGTAAACCAGCCGATTCTTGTAATTGTACCTACTAAACACAAAATCATAGAAAAATCTAAGTGTAACTGTACAGTAAGTCCTCTAAGAAACAGTAAATGACTTTCTTTCTTGCAATTTAGGCCTCAGGTGAACAGAACAGGGGAGTCAATTACTGTACCTGAATAGCTTTTTTTGGCATATCTAAACTCCACAAGAAAAGATTTTCCTCATCAATGCTAATCAGCTTATCATGCCTTCCACACGGCCACCAAAGAATGCTGAGGTGCACACATGTATGCAGCAAGTAACCCATGAACAAACATTAGAATAAAAACGTGTTCAAAAGGGATGAAAAGTTCATTAAGTTCAAAACCATCAAAAGAAAGCAAAAATAAATAAAGATTAAAAAATCAGAACAACAGAAGAAACCTTCTTCAAACTACATGACTTCAGAGTACAGTACATTTTGCATTGTGACATAAATCTTTTGACATATCCTTCCCCTTCAGCTTTTAGTCATTCTTATCTATTTATTTGAAAATTCACATCTAACAACAACATTTGTGCAAAACCTGCCTTGAAAAAAAAAAGGGATAAACAAAACTCACCACTTAATCTTACCGACATGTGCGCCAAGGGAAGTAATCTTTTCCAACTGAGGAGAATTTAACTCTCCATATAACTCAGGTATCTGCCATATTGCTGCTCCATACGATTCACCTTAATAATAATCAAACTTTTATTATCAAACCACTCGCTATCTTTGAGCCCACCGGATTTCAGAAGGCAAAAAAAACGTTAAAAGGTTGTTTGGCAGAGCTTTTAGAAGCTAAGTTTTGGCTTCATGAGCCCAAAGATGTTATGATATGATACACTGATACTGATATAGCTTTAAGCAGCTAGACGTCTTCCAAAAACAATCATACTTACATGGTTTTCTCTTAAAAGAGCCTCCATATAAGTACGATGGATTCTTTTAGAGTTTTAAACAAATTTCTTCATTCGTGAATAACAAAAGAAAAATCCATTTGTCTTAAAAATCTCTTCC